AAAGAAACTGTTAGCATAGAACTTACGGTTTCACTCTAGCCAATTTAATTGTGAATTGATGAGACCTTGACGCCAATCTAGTACGACGTTTAAATTCATAAATTTTAGCGAAGAGTGATATTTATTTCTGCTATGTAAAAAATATGGCACAAGGCCAAAAAAGAAAGAATGGGGAAAAGGACGGTCTTCTTCTTTCTTAACTGTAAACCTAGCCAGCCAAAAACACTGATCCAAACATACCAAAACAACGCAATCTTACTTATCGTTCTTCCTACATCCAACGTAATACCTCATTGTCTCTATGAAAATTCTATCTAGCCTCCCTATGTACAATTCATTGTCTGTGGAGAGGGTGTAATAAAACAAGAAATATATAGCGAAGTGTGATATTTATTCGTAATTATTGCAAAGTGTGGCACAAGGCTAAAATGTGGAATGGGAGAAAAGGACTGTCTTCTTTTGTGTTATATTAAGTTGGTGCTAAAATAATGACGTAATAATGTCGTTTTTTGACGTACTTTTCTACGTTAGAAAACGACATTCTTACGTCATTATTTTTACACCAACCTAATAATTAAACTTAGCTAGCCACAAACACTGACCCAAACATACCACAATATTCCTAACACCAAAACAACGCATTCATATTTACCTTTCTAACTACAATCACCATAATACCTCATTGTCGCTATGAAAGACCGAACTAGTCCCCATATGTACAATTCATTGTATGTGGAGAGAGGGGGAATAAAATAACAATTAAAAACTATAAGTAAAAAAAAAAAAAAACTCACAATCCTTGAATGAGGCAGAAACATCAGTTCCCTGGACGAAATCAACGTGGGACTTTAAAAATATAAAACATTCTTCATCTCCTGCACCCAGTGAAACACACACTCATTTAAACACGAAAAACACACCCGAAACGAAAATCGTCCCGCATCTACCAGAGAACTGACATCACTGGCCACCTAACGAAAGAAGGTATGGGGACTATATATATAGTGAAGACTTAATCCGAACAATTACCACGAAAGTATTTATAGAAAAGGCACAATGAAGCTACATTACGACGGTGAGAAAATGATTGCATCCGAGATGCCAGGTCAGGACCAATGATATTGATGGTTCTTCTTTGGATTTTATCAAGAATCTCTAAATATACACCAGGAGCCCCCAGCAATATGTGGCTGTAATATTCCAGGTGTGGACGAATAGTAAATTTATAGATATGTAAGATATATTCTGGAGAGAAAAATTATCTAGCACGATACAATGAAGCAATTGTCTTAGAAGCTGAGCTTTCAAGTTTATCTATCTATCTATCTATCTATCTATCTATCTATCTATCTATCTCAATCTGTTCATATCTATCTATTTCTGTCTGTTTATATCTATGTGTCAATCTATTTATCTACCTATCTATCTACCTATCTATCTATCTATCTATCTATATATATATATATATATATATATATATATCAATCAGTTCATATCTATATATCTATTTCTGTCCGTTTATATCTATATATCTATCTATCTATCTATCTATCTATCTATCTATCTCAATCTGTTCATATCTATCTATCTATTTGTCTGTTTATATCTATCTATCTATCTATCTATCTATCTATCTATCTATATTTGTTCATATCTATCTATCTATCTATTTCTGTCTGTTTATATCTATGTGTCAATCTATTTCTATCTATCTATCTATCTCTCTCTCTCTCTATATATATATATATATATATATATATATATATATATCAATCTGTTCATATCTATATATCTATTTCTGTCTGTTTATATCTATCTATCTATCTATCTATCTATCTATCTATCTCTCAATCTGTTCATATCTATCTATCTATCTGTCTATCTATCTATCTCAATCTGTTCATATCTATCTATCTATTTCTGTTTGTTTATATCTATGTGTCAATCTATTTCTATCTATCTATCTATCTATCTATCTATCTATCTATATATATATATATATATATATATATATATAGTTTTAAAAACAAAAGAATATTATTGATTTTAATTTTAAAAGTCTCTAGGGCCCTTTTCGCTAATCCAACATCTCATCAGGATGAGAATCGTTGGATTAGCGAAAAGAATAGAACGATATTGAAGGCAAAAAAATAAATCGTTATTCTTTCTTTTGTTTTAAAATTTATAAATTTTGTATTTAAAATTTTTTTATCAAACATTTATTTATATATATATATATATATATATATATATATACCTCAATCAGTTCATATATATATATCTATTTCTGTCTGTTTATATCTATGTATCTATCTATGTATCTATCTATCTATCTATCTATCTCAATCTGTTCATATCTATCTATCTATTTCTGTATGTTTATATCTATCTATCTATCTATCTATCTATCTATCTATCTATCTATCTATCTCAATCTGTTCATATCTATCTATCTATCTATCTGTTTCTATCTATCTATCTATCTATCTATCTATCTATCTATCTATCTTTGACCGAAAGAAACTCTAAGCATAGAACTTACAGTTAAATCGTTAGCTCGAGAAGGCCCAGCGTGTATCTTGCCCGGGGGTTAGCATCAGCCTTGTTGATGGTAGGCAGCAATCGGTTTCCTCAGATGAATACCAGGGAGCAATTTAGTTTTGGAGGCGTTAAGATTAACAATCCATCCTTTGTCGGGGTTGACAAATAGCTGTGAATCATTTTTTACATCATCCCCTATTTTAACCGTACCGGACTTACTATGGAAACAGAAGTAAATGGCTGTATCTTCAGCATACATAACAAGTTGAGAGTTAATGCCACCGCCGAGGTCGTTAATGAAAATTAAAAACAAAATAGGACCCAGGATAGCTTCCTGGGGACACCTGCATTAGTACGAAAGGGTCCACAAGTGTTGATGTTCAAGATAACTTTCATTTAACGATATGATAAGAAAGACTGAATCAGTTAATAGATTTGATCGGGGACACCCTAACTTTTCAATTTGCGAAGACCTTTATGCCAAACCCTGAATATATCTTCTTTATTTAATAGACGTGAGGTTTGTTGTTGTCCTTATGGAAGGACGATATCCTTCCTATAGGCCAATTCCTTGATATTTTTTTTTCGATTACTGCCTTTAATCCTTCCGAATGCGAAACTGGTCGATCACATTCAGTACCTTGAAAAGCAATCTGGTAGCATTCTATCATCACCGATGGCTAAGAACTTTCACCAATCGCGTTGAATGGATGTTTAGGGAGGGCCTCTGCCTTGAGCGTCTATTGCGACTTAAACTTAACCCAAACCTCAACTTGGAACACGTACATCCCTACAGATCCATCGCTAAAAATGTTGGGAAAATGTCCGGTTCTTCTAACCGCACCAGAGAATCCCTGACTCCTCTTGCTATTTTCTATCTTTACAAGAGTCTGATCAGGCCGAAAATTGAGTACTGCTTGCCATATATGGGCAGGAGCTGCCAAGTTTTCACTTTCCTGTTTGGACAGCGTTCAAAAGCTTCTCTGTTTCCTTGTGGAGGATGAATTACTTTCCACCCTACAACCACTTTCCCACAGACGAAAAATAGATAGCCTCTCGCTGCTCTACCTCTAATTCCACGGAAAGTATTCAGACGTATTACATCACTGAGTTCCACCATTTCTAAACTTCACGGAATGTATCTTCAGCGGGGTTCTGTGTGGTACTAAAATACCATGTGAGAATGAAGAGATAACATGTGCAGAAAATATATTTTATTTTTTCTCAAGATCATTGATATCATAATTTTATTAGTCATTTATCTCTTTTTAGCAAAATAGCATCCGAACCTATGTTCCTCATTTTTTTTTCTTTATTTTTTTTGTGTGAATTTAAATCCTTTATTATTATTATTATTCGATTTGTAGTTTACCTTTTATTCAATTTTGACATTCTCACTCCAATGAAAAGTTTCAAGAGCAGTTACCAGTTTCACTTTGTCTGGTTTTATCTATCTATCTATCTATCTATCTATCTATCTATCTAAACAGTTATATATGCAGATGATATAGGTATTAACTCCAGTCTTATTATCCTATAGGCTCGACAAAGTAAAAAGGAAAAGCCACAAAGCTACCGAAATAAGAAAGTCTTACAAATAACTGTATCGGAAGATGGCGGATTTAAAACATCGAAGAAATGTGATTGTTTTAGTAGCTTTGTTTATTTTTTTTTTTTTGCGTTAATAAATTTTTAATAGTTTTTTTTTTTTTGCGTTACCACTGCATACGGCCTTCTTTCAAATAAATAATATAACTTTCGTTTCTTTAGGTAAACTGTCAGATGTGTTAACGCCAACAATTCAATTTGTCTATCAAGCTTTAGCTAAGAATGGCGAGGCTAGGGCAATGGCTTTCGATATCTCGAAGACGTTACGAAAGTTCACGACATCTTGAAGGCCTTCTTCACTAGTTCAAGGGCTACGATGTCGCTGGCCGAATATTTGGCCTAATCCAGTCGATCGTAACAAATTGTGCAATGTAAGACATATTGAATGGCGACGCTTCTAGATAATTTCAAATTAATGCTGGGGTCCCCAGGGCTCTATCCTTGCACCAACGTTGTTTCTTATCTTCATTAACGATCTCCCTGTTGTCATCAGCTTCCAACTAGGTATATATGCAGATGACACATCTATTTACTCCTGTCTTATTAATAAGTTCTTTATGTTCGACAAAGTGAAACTGTTAACTCCTCTTGAAAATTACTTTTGATCAATTGTACTGGTTGGCATTTTTTTCTGTTTCTTTCCCCAGTTAAAAACATCGGTCGACATATTTTTCGATCCAAATGTTGTTGGACAATGGACACATGTTTCTGTGCTATTTTTTCGCGTTGAATCTGAAAATCAAGTCCATTTTGCTCCATCATATTACGTTTTCTCAGTACAGATAATTCTATTTTGCATAAAATAGGCCAAAATGCCTAATTCACGGATATATGTCACTGCTTAAATATGCGAGTGACATTGTTGAAACATTTCGTTTCATGTTTAAATGATTTATCATTCAAGACAAAGTATCGAAATAACTTTCAAAATGAATTCTAAGCAGTTTCAGTTCAGATAAGCTGACCTGAAAATATTTGATTTATAGAATCATAGAATCTGAACTCATAAAGAAAAGCTGAAGACTTCACCAGCGAAAAAGTCGTGATCGAAATTTTAAAGATAAAGATACTCGTCGGAAAGATTCGTGAGTGAATATTAACACATCAGACAAAATCGACAGGGTTATAGGCGTATTAGAGCAAAATACAGCTGTTTGTGATTGAAAAGGTGTTACCTTAGTTATGTCTCTTAAATTCTAGACTCCAGGACGCGTAAAAGCTAAGGAGAAGAAAGTTCGCGTTTAGGAGAAGGTTTGGCCAATTTTTCATTGGAGGGAAGATGTCAAAATTGAAGGTAACTACAAAACGAATAATAATGAAAAAGAATTTAATTCACACAAAAAAAAGAAAAGAAAAAATGAAGGGAAATTAAAAGAAATAAGTAGGAATAAGAAATGAAGGAAGATTGAATGAGAAAGAAAGAAAAAAGAAAGAAAGAAACAAGAAAGAAAGAAACAAACCAACAAGAAAAACAGAAAGAAGGAGGAAGAAACAAACAAAGAAACAAAGAAAAAAAAAAAACAAGCAAGCAAATGGGAATATAAAAAGAGAGGAAAATGGAAGTAGTAAAAAGGAAAAAACAAATGACATAAAATAAAAAGAAATAAGTAAAAAAAAAAAAAAAGAAAGAAAAAAGAAAGAAGTAGGAAAAAGAAAGGAAAAAAAAAGAAAAAGGAAAATAAAGAAAAGTATGAAAAAAAAAGAAAAAAAAAAAGAAAAGAAAAAAGAGAGAAACGAGCAAACAAATGGGAATAATCAAAAAGAAAAGCAAAAACTAGGAACAATAAAGAAAGAAAGAAAAAAAAAAGAAGAAAAAAAAAAAAGAAAGAAAGAAGGAAAAAGAAACAAGCAAACAAATGGGAATAATCAAAAAGAAAGCAAAAACTAGGAACAATAAAGAAAGAAAGAAAAGAAAAGAAAAAAAAAAAAAAAAGAAAGAAAGAAGGAAAGAGAAAACAAGCAAACAAATGGGAATAATCAAAAGAAAGCAAAAACTAGGAACAATAAAGAAAGAAAGAAAGAAAGAAAGAAAGAAAAAAAAAAAAAAAGAAAGAAGGAAAGAAAGAGAAAACAAGCAAACAAATGGGAATAATCAAAAAAAGCAAAAACTAGGAACAATAAAGAAAGAAAGAAAAGAAAAGAAAGAAAAAAAAAAAAGAAAGAAAGAAGGAAAGAGAAAACAAGCAAACAAATGGGAATAATCAAAAAAAAGCAAGAACTAGAACAATAAAGAAAGAAAAAAAGAAAGAAAGAAAAAAAAGAAAGAAAGAAGGAAAGAGAAAAAAAGCAAACAAATGGGAATAATCAAAAAAAAAGCAAAAACTAGGAACAATAAAGAAAGAAAGAAAGAAAGAAAGAAAGAAAAAAAAAAAAAAAGAAAGAAAGAAGGAAAGAGAGAAACAAGCAAACAAATGGGAATAATCAAAAAGAAAGCAAAAACTAGGAACAATAAAGAAAGAAAGAAAGAAAGAAAGAAAGAAAGAAAAAAAAAAAAGAAAGAAAGAAGGAAAGAGAGAAACAAGCAAACAAATGGGAATAATCAAAAAGAAAGCAAAAACTAGGAACAATAAAGAAAGAAAGAAAGAAAGAAAGAAAAAGAAAGAAAGAAAGAAAAAAAACAAAGAAAGAAGGAAAGAGAGAAACAAGCAAACAAATGGGAATAATAAAAAAAAAGCAAAAACTAGGAAATAATAAAAAGAAAGAAAGAAAGAAAGAAAGAAAAAAAAAAAAGAAAGAAAGGAAAGAGAGAAACAAGCAAACAAATGGGAATAATAAAAAAGAAAAAAAAAAAACAATAAAGAAAATAAAGAAAGAAAAGAAAGAAAAAAAGGAAAAAAGAAAGAAAAAGAAAAGGAAAGGAAACAAGCAAACAAATGGGAATAACAAAAAGAAAGCAAAAAATAGAACAATAAAAAGAAAGAAAAAAAAGAAAAGAAGAAAAAAAAAAGAAAGAAAAGAAAGGAAAGAGAAAACAAGCAAACAAATGGGAATAATAAAAAAAAGCAAAAACTAGGAACAACAAAGAAAGAAAGAAAGAAAGAAAAAAAGAAAGAAAGAAGGAAAGAGAGAAACAAGCAAACAAATGGGAATAACAAAAAAGAAAGCAAAAAACTAGGAACAAGAAAGAAAAAAGAAAGAAAGACAGTAAGTAAGTAAGTTCAGGAACAAGAAAGGAACTAACTAACAAATAAATAGGTAAAAAGAGAGAAAGAAAGTTTAAGGAAAAGAAAGAAAGAAATGAATGAAAAAGAAATAATTTGGAACAGGAATGAAATGACGAAAGAAAAAAGAATGATAAAGAAAGAAAAAATAGGTAGGAAAAGGAAAGAAGCAGATACGAAATGAATAAAT